ACCCTTATACAAAGAATTAGCTAAAAGATTCAAGTTGAAGACATATATAGGGAAGAGTGAAATTCAGTGGTTTGTGTGTTTGGTTGAGCCTCATTCAATTTTCACTGTTCAGGTGTTGCATACAGAGCCAAGGGTTGAAAAAACAAGTTCTCTGTAGCAGGTCTTCAGTGCCCTAGTGCACAGGGAGGCTCCCAGGAGTGTTTCTCCAGACCTGGTGAACAGGTGTGGTGGGAGATGTGCATGCTAGGCCATCAGTGGAGTAGGCAGATCCTGCATGAATTTTTGAGACACAATGGAGGTTCAGCTATGAGAGGCTATAGGTGGAAGTCTATGCTCAAGCATGGGCTTTGGAGACTAATTCTCCAAGACATGTAGAATTTGGCAAATCTATTAACCCTTACAAGATGCAAATTGACGTAAGGACTCCTTGGCTTCTGCTCTGATACTCCTGAGGAAACTTTTTCTTTCAAACTTTGATGAAGGGGCTGAGGTTATCAGAAAGTATAATTTAAAACAAAAACAAATTTATATTAAGAATTGTTTAAAAAAGCAACACCTGCATTTCACAACTACCAGCCAGAAGCATGGCTTGTATGTAGCTTGACAGTATTTTATGATTTTCTTCTAAATGATATAAGGTTTGAACCATTAAGGAGCTGGGACAGCAAAGGTCTAAGGAAACCTTATGGTCTTGTTGCAGACTTTCACAGTTACTTGAAGGACACACTCTGGTATGCAACTCTGAAACATTTATTTAAGTTTAGGTGAGACAAAGGGAAATACATTATTGAACAAGCAAGTATTTTTTTTTTCCTTTCATACGGTCTTAAAATATTTTTTAAAACTGACATGAACATGTTTCTTCCCAGTGAAAATGACTTTGGATCAAAAACTAAAAAATACCAACTTTAATAAAGATAAAAATTATAAAACAGAATTTTAAGGCTCAGAGTGAACGTCTTTATATTGGAAATAGTAAGGCAATTCACAATGAATCACTTCTCCAGTATTTCACTGTTAAAATATTTAATTAGATCTTGCTAATCATTTTGTGTGAAGACATTTTCCAGAAACTAATGCTTTTAAATCTGATAGCATTAAGAACACAGTTCTTAAAGGAATTTTTATTCCAGATTCCAGTAAACAGCTGGATTGGCAATTGTTTACATATTAAGATAAAGACTGCTCTCCTTACATTAGCAGATATGAGGCATTCAGAAGGAGGCTCCACCTTCCATATGGAAGCAGAGGAACTCAATCCAGCTGTTTTAAGGCAATAAGTCCAGCAGTGACAATGTGAACTTCTATGTGATGCTCTTTGCATCACATAGATGGGGTTTACGTCAAGTTGGACAAAAATTTTAAAGCAAAACTCATACTTTTGCTTCTCAGAATCACAATACAAAAGTTATTTCTGCTCTTTGAAGTGCACTCTGCTGCTTATTAAACTCAATCCAGCTGTTTTAAGGCAATAAGTCCAGCAGTGACAATGTGAACTTCTATGTGATGCTCTTTGCATCACATAGATGGGGTTTACGTCAAGTTGGACAAAAATTTTAAAGCAAAACTCATACTTTTGCTTCTCAGAATCACAATACAAAAGTTGTTATTTCTGCTCTTTGAAGTGCACTCTGCCTCTGTTTAATAGTATACAAAACCAGAACTAGAAGGAATCAGGAAACTAGGTAAACCCATGGGATTCTGAATCAGAAAACACTGAGAAGTTACAAAACTGAACATTTCTGTATCTCACTGATGCAGTGTTATGCTCCACATTGTGGTGATTTAATGGACTTGTGGAAGATAATAGTAACCACTGACCTCAGTGAAAGGTCTAATGTTGGGTTTTATTGTGGTAGTAGCCTGCCCTGAATAAGAGAATGAAATACCATGTTAGTGTGAAGTCAAATTGGTTATTCAATTAAACAAAAACAATGAAGAGCCAGGCTGTTCAGGAAGGGAGCACAGTTGCAGTCTCTGGTGCATCTTGACACAGTATGATTATATAGTGCCACCCTCCACAGGACGTGAGCTCCAAGAGCATCACACATTTTGTGACAGCTCAGTGTTGTCTCAGCTGCTTACACAAGCCTTTGACCCTTGGCTGTTCCATCAGTTAATAACACAAACACCATTTTTCTGTCTTTTTCTAGCAGGTTTTCTTGGTGATGAGCATATCAGCACTACTAACAACATTTACTTCCATTCACATAAGTTTCCTGTACTTACTTTATGGGCTCAGTGTATGCAGAGGAGAAATGTCCTGTAACAGTTACTGAGCAAAATTAAATGACTACAGACCATTTAGGATCAGATTCTGATTTTGTTTGTATCACAGGCACTGAAAGTAAGTGAAATGAAGGTAAAGTTTTGACTCTTTTTCTAGCAAGTACTTTTGAGGAGAGAATGTTATAGTTCAGCTGACAAATTTTCATCATCCACTCTCTGTAGCTTGCCTCTCAGTGTGACTTCTTGGGAACTCTTCTTGAATGATTAAGGATTAATCCATTGTACACAGGGTTTTGGGAAAAGTCTTTCAGCAGTAGCTTCTTGTCCTCCCATTTTCAAAGAACAGAATGTACTTTATTAAAAAAGCAGTGTTCAAAAAAGGGGTAGACATGGTGTTTCATAAGATGGTTTCGTGATTACGGGTTGTAGGGGGGATGATTGGACTTGATGAGATTGAAGGTCATTTCCAACCTTGACGAGTCCATGATTCTATGATTGGGTTGTTTACTCCTCAGCTTGTCAGTTCAGGTTATAATAATGTGAGTTTGGAGATGTTCCACTGAAATCATGGAGAAAAGGTTGAAGATGGATGGTTTGCATATTTCCTCTGTGTACTTTGTATTTTAATTTGTACAGAGTTTCTGGGTGTGTTGTTTGATGGTGTAAAATGTGAGAAGCACTACTATTGTCTTTTCCCAAGAGTAGTTACTAATATGGGAAACTTTAAATTTTAGGTTGCCAAATCCAACTTAGTCTAGACCTAGTTTTGGAATCCCTAAGACATCCTAAAAAACAATGAAGATAAGAGGAGCAGTAGGTTCTGTATCCTGGAAAATCAGACCCACAATATGTCTGAAGTTGGGCACCCCATAACTGAAGTCACTCAAATCAGTGTCACTTTTAATAGCTAGTAGTTTTATTTTGTTTGCATGGGAGGAGGTACAACATGGGCAACATCTGGGATTTCTGCTTTCCCACTGAAGTACCTGCACCTTCTTTAGTCTCTCAGGATAAGAGCGTATTTTATCTTCCTGCTCTGTTCAGTCCCGGGTGAATTGCCTGAGATTTCTAACAAAAAGCATGGATGTTATAATGGTGGTTTGGTTTTATGATCTTCACTCAGATGGGACGTGGAATAACAGCAGAAATTCACTTCCTCTAAATCCTTAGAGAACCAACATTTAGAGTCAACATGATTGTATTGGTAGGAAACCCAAAGAAAGGCTCTTTCTCAGTCTCTGGTTAGATCCAGTATCCTTTTACTCTTACAATAACTCCTTGTTTTTTTCTTTCCATGTGTCATTTTTTTAAGTTACATTTTTAACTCTGAAAAAAAATCTAAATAAGGTAAAAAATTAAAGTATCTCTTAATTTTTCTTTTGATCTCTGTGACTTTGATCAGGACTTCGTTCGTGTTCACCAGCCATGTTAAAAGCAGTAAGAACTGCTTGAAAACAATGTCCAAAGAAGAGAGACAGAAATAATTTAAAGATGCAGAAATTCATATTAGATGTTCACAGATTCTAAGTGCTGGGAGGTGTTAATACAGCTGTATGGATGGTAAATGTATTTAAATCAATAATTAAGTGTTGTCACTTAACACCTTCTGTTGCACTTCCATTAAATTGCCTTATTTATTACTATTATGAATTACAGTAGGTTTTTTAGCTCTTTGCACCAAAGTGTTGTTAACTTCATAACTTTTGTACAGAAATGTTCTCTGTCTTTATAGTAGATACCAGAGTTGTGATTATTTCCTGATTGATGGTGAAAATTGAAGTTCTACCAGATGATCATTCCTTTTCAGTTAGTAAGAAAATGAGTTAGGTGGTAGATACACTTTTAGTCATGTTAAAAATTAGGAAGAAGAGACTTGATGCTTAAAAATGGTGAAGCTACAAGCTTGATGTGATCTGTGTTTAAAAGCAGATTGTCACTATCACTGTAAAGAAAAAATACAAAGCAGATCTGGAAAAGAGTTTCAGCTATGAGCTCTAGAGAACATGCTTCAGACAACAGGAATGTTGGTTTCCTGTGTTGATGTCCTATGCAAGTGCCCTGTACCTTACTTAATGAATCCTTACACCACGAGTACACAGTTCATGGAGAACACACACACACAGATATAAATATAGAGGTTATGCAGCTGCACCTAAATGACACAATTTGTTTATCTAGTCTTTAGTTCAAAAGTTCTAAGATTATCTGATGTAATAATATATAAAAATGAGTTACATCTTTTCCCTTTAGCTTGTGCTTTGTGATTATCTGGCATATTTGTTTGTTGTTTTTTTTAAAAATTACATTCAAAGTCATGTTGTTTACCCTCATTCAGGATTGTTGCTATTGTGAAGTCAGTGTTTTCGCTGGCAGTATTCCAGCTAAACATCCTCAACCCTTACCATGGCTTGCTACAGTACAGTAACTTTAGTTCAAGCAGTGAAAGTGGTATTGGCTTTCAAGTGCTGAAAACTGTTTACTGTGTAATTCTTAGCAAACTACACAGTACTGAATTTATTGCACAACACTCCATACCACAAAATAATACTTGCAACATTGCAGCAGCAGCACACTTAATTACAAATGAGTTGCTTGTAAACCTTGAGCATCTTGATTTGTACCTCTTTTTTTTTCCCTTTTTTTTTTCCTTTCCCTTTTATTTTTTCACCTTTTTTTTTTTTTTCACTTTTTTTTTTTTTTTCCTTTCCCTTTTTTTTTTTCTCCTTTTTTTTTTTTTTCCCTTTTTTTTTTTTTTTTTTTTTTTCTCCCTGCAGTTCTAGTATCTCTGCAGGTGTGACTGGAACAGCTGTTTGCTTTTTTTCAAAGTTCTTCACTCTCCACCACCTTTTGGGTTGGGGGTGAAAACAGCATCGAACTTTCGGTAGTTGGGAAGGCAGAAAAAATATCGAGTCCTTGGCCGGTGAGGTTTGCGTATCGGCTGCCCCCAGGTCGAAGCTTTATTGGCTGTGGAATCTGACGGTGCCACTGAGCTGAAGCAAAACAGAACAGGCTGTATCAACCTCTAGTGGAGATAGCAATGAGCCAGCAGAAACCCATGCACACAAGGAAAAGTTGCTTCCAACATTCTTGTGAAGAGCACAGCACTGCTCTTCCCTGTTTTAGGGTCTGTTCCTTCTAATATTCTGATCTAAGAAGTTTATGTGTTGAGAAGTTTTATTGAAGTCTATAGATGAAATTCCATCCCTGTTCAATTCAATGGCAACATTTACATGGATTTCACTGAGTCCAAGGTTTAATCATTTAATCTTTGGTCTCTTGTCCAAAGCTCTTGCAATCAAAACTAAAAACATACCATAGCATGAACAGAGCATGGACTGGCTGTGATTCTGTTCTACTCCATCCTCTGTGGGACTTTTCTTCCTCTTATTCTTTTGGTGGTATTTAATTTCAGAGTAACAATACAGGGAATTCTTTTAAAGAGGTGCTTGCAATTTTTATTTCCCTTTACTATTTGCAACTAACAACCTATGTTTTCTACATTTTTTTAAAGATACTGAAATAAAATCCAAAGAGACATATTCAGTAATTTAATAGTAACATTCAACATGTTCCTATATGAACGAATACCGTTACAATTTTGTAGGAATATTTAGTTCTTATATAATACTTAACAGTTTTCATTATTAAAACACTTCAGAAAGGGGAAATGGATGTTATCTTTGCTGGTATTCATTTAAACAAAACCTCCAGTTCTGCACCCAAACTTGCTGCAATCTACGTGTTAAGCATGGATTGGAAATGTTAATTATCCTTCCATGCTGAATTTTGACCCTATCTGAAAATATTTGAAAAAGAGTCTTCTTTTTTTCTTGCAGCCCCCCACTTATTTCCACTTGAATACTCGTTACTTACTGTAATATCAGACCACACTTTTGATCTCCCAACCCCCCTCCATTCAAAATAGCACAAAGAAAAACAATTTCTGACACTGTCTTTGGTGTACAAAACTTGCAGAATTATTAGAAAAATTGGGTGGAATCAGGAAGCATTTCCTATTTTCCGTCTTTTTCCTGTTTGTACCTTGAATCCTTTGCATGAAAATTTAATTTATATCTTGCAACGTTTAGATATCGGTATGTTTTTTTTTTCATTTGATGTGACCTGTTTTGAATCAAGACTCGCCCTCCCTCTCTTGAACATCACATTGCTATTGTCTGTATCGCCACAAGGTGGAGGAAACGACGCAGAGCCACTGGTGACTTGCGGTTGTCCCTGATCATGAAGCGTTTGTTGGTTTTGGTTTTGTTTTAATGAGAAATACAGGGTTGAAAATTGAGGGTGGTTTGTTTTTTTCTTGCAGCCCCCCACTTATTTCCACTTGAATACTCGTTACTTACTGTAATATCAGACCACACTTTTGATCTCCCAACCCCCCTCCATTCAAAATAGCACAAAGAAAAACAATTTCTGACACTGTCTTTGGTGTACAAAACTTGCAGAATTATTAGAAAAATTGGGTGGAATCAGGAAGCATTTCCTATTTTCCGTCTTTTTCCTGTTTGTACCTTGAATCCTTTGCATGAAAATTTAATTTATATCTTGCAACGTTTAGATATCGGTATGTTTTTTTTTTCATTTGATGTGACCTGTTTTGAATCAAGACTCGCCCTCCCTCTCTTGAACATCACATTGCTATTGTCTGTATCGCCACAAGGTGGAGGAAACGACGCAGAGGCACTGGTGACTTGCGGTTGTCCCTGATCATGAAGCGTTTGTTGGTTTTGGTTTTGTTTTAATGAGAAATACAGGGTTGAAAATTGAGGGTGGTTTGTTTTTTTTTTTTGCTTTGAGGGCATGACCATAATCCAATAGTTTGTGGTTTATGTTTTGTTATGCTGCTTGAGTGATCGAAGTACTCTCTTGCTATAGATTAATTGTCTTAATGACAACATCTTGCATAGATACAGAATAATTAAATGATGTGCTTGAACTGGACTGGACCCTTCCGAGTCCTGGACAAACAAATTAGATACAAACTAGCCTCCATTAATTAGGCATAGTTTGCATTATGGATGCTCCATAGAAGTCTACTTTCTTGTGTGCAATTTATTCTTCCATCTCAGGTCAGGACTGTAACACAGGCACATGTCAGAGGGCAGAGAGTCAAGGTTCAACTTGAATCCATGATTATGATATGCTTATGTGTCTAGGGAATTTGGAAGGTGGAAAATGGGAGTAGGGAATACTGTGCAGAACTTGTTCTCTGTTTTTTTTCTCTTTACCAACCTTTAAACTGATGCGGGGGAGCTAATTTGGGCATTGAGCTGTATCATTATACCTCCTGGTGGCCACATGAAGCTGTGACACTGATTTCTAATCCACATCAAAACCAGCAATTTATGGACTAAGAACTAGGTGAGGGCTGGGACCAGGCAAAGAAAATCAATTCTGCTTTGTTTATTTCCTAGGCAATACCTACCATAGATGTCAAGTCTGGCAGTACAAGACACAATACCAGCTTCATTTTTTGCAGACAAAGTGTACCAGCCAGCATCTGTTTTCTTGGCAGGTTGAATCAGGAGGCAGACATACCCTGTTGTATCTTGATGCATGCTGAGAAAACAAGTGTTTTGGAATTAGTATTTCTCTAGAGTGTATCAACTTGGAGATTTTACAATATGTACATTAAATATGAAATAGATAAGTTGTAAATTAAATTATTGAAGAGGTAGCAGTCCAAGATGCTTGTAGTCAATAGATTTGCTTTCAGTGTGGCCTCATTCAATAATCACAGTAGCTAACATCTGTTCTTGCTCCTCTGAGCTCTGGAAATCCATGGTGTGACAGTGTGAGCTGAATTGTTACTCTGTGTATGTTAATATTGGAATTGTTGTTTGAATTCCAGTGAGCAAAACCGGTGCAAAGCTGCTGCACAGTAACGTTGTAATGTTTCCTAGTTCAGAAACTGGAACAGTAGCATGAAAAAAATACAAAGAGCATTTATACAAAGTTCTGATATTTTTCACAGCAGTAGCCAGGGTGAGTCAGAAACTTTCTTATGGTACCCGTTTCCATGAGGAAAACTTCTTCCAAGTGGCAGAACCTTAACAATCTGTTTGGCCAACCCATCCAGTCCTCTACCTTTGCTCTTAAGCGATCCAAGACTTGTGGCTGCAACTCCCAGGAGAAACTATTCAGTGCTATATTGGAGAGCTGAGGCTTCTCTGCTCTCTAGGCTGTGTTTAGTCCTTTTTATCAACCCAAATGTTTCCCTCATTATTAAGGGAGAGGTGGGAGATGAGCCCATCAGAATACCTGAAGTTGTAGGGAGTTCTGAAATTTCAGATTTTTGTTTCTTTATGAACTGGAATGAAGCATCAAACCTCAGAATTTCAGGTCAAGAGGATATTAACTTCAGGTCAGGAGGGTATTTTGTGCTTCCCATAGCTCTAACAAAAAAAGGGAACATTAACTTTTTGCTTCCTGAACTACATCATTTACCTTATGGGTGGAGTAGTGCAACAGTGGTAGCATAGATGCTCATGGATGGCCAAGTCATGATACAAAAAAGGTCTCTTGGCTTCAGGCAGAAAAATAATAGTGAGGCAAGACAGGGTCAAACAGGGCAAACAAGGACAAGCTGCCCATCACTCTTGTGGATCTGTGCTGAACCACTGGAGCCCTGGGGTGCAGGCAGCCTGGTTGTGGCTGGCTGAAATAGCAGAAGTGTTACAAGACTGATGTTAGTTCCTGGCCTTGTGAGGTGTGGGAGGTTTCCCTTAGTCATTTCTCTGCTGAGCTGAAGCAAAAACTTTTTTTAAGCTTCTGTGAAACAGCTGGAAATGAGGCATTGAAGGACAGTTGTTCATTTTATATTAACTACAATGCTTGCATGTTTATAACCATATGACAGTACCAGTACTTGAAATAAATTCTTGAGCAATCTGCCTAGAGGCAGAGGAATAAAACTACAGGCTGTCAAAGATGAGAGTCAGGTGGGCTTTTTGGAGAGAAACAGCAGTCTCTTAGCAGGGACAGGGACTACTGGAAGATTCTGTCAAGTAAGCTTTCCCTCAGGCTAGGTGAGCATTCCTGACAAGTGCTGCTGTGGAGCCAGGTGTCTTTACAGATAGCCTGCAACCTGTGCATGTGGACGTGTAATACTTCTTGAAGTTGATCTTAGAGATCTAATGACTGCATCAAATCATTGAAGCCAAGTGGAAAAAAAAAATCAAAATAAAATTTATGCTGAAGTAGAAAACCTTAAATGAAAGCAAACAATTTCTCATTAATTACAGCCAGGCACGTTATTTCATCAGCTTGCCTTTTGCAAAACCTAAAAAATAGTGATGTGTATAGAATAGAGCTGAACCCAAACATTATTGTGTTTTGTAAGCATGGATCAAAGTCTTTGCCCATGTGTTCATGGCCAAACAATTACCAGACTCTGTATCTGATATGCTAAACTCCCTATTATCCTGTGCCCTGGGGCATTTGAAACTGTGTTCTAACTGTCCTGAGTTCAAATTAATCCACAGCTAGAACTAAGCTGAGGAAAAAAATAGAATAAGATGCTAAAATGCATTGAAAGAGCATATCATAGTAGCTTTGCTAAGAAGATGCATCTGCTGTTATCAGGCCTGTGGCTTTGAAAAGGTCTATCACCACTCTCTGAAGCAGTGGCATATTATGCTCTTCCCTTTTTTCTGAACCAAGGAATTAGCTGTTGTTCACCTCACAGTGGAGCCAGCTTTTTAAAACTTGATCTAGGTGAGAGAAGTTGTTTTAAGGAGAACATCACCTGGACTTGTCACACAGGTTTTCATGGAAACAATTGTTCCAGCCAGAAGAAACCCCAGGCATGGGCACGCTGGTACAGTACCTCATCCTCTCTCTGTTTGATGGGATGGTCTCATTATCCTTCTTCCAGTAAAATACAGGGGGTGGCATTCCCACAACTCTGCACTCTAATCTGACAGGGTACCCTTCAGGAACACCACAGTTCTGAAGCTTCTCCAAAAACATGGGGGCTTTTTTTACTTCCTTTGCTGGAAAAAAAAAGATAAAAAGAATTATTAAATAACAAATATTTTCTTTTCCATTTCTCTTTGAACAGTATGGAAGAATATGACCAAAAATTATTCTTGTGATATCAAAGACGGTTGTGAATTTTTAATGGGATATTAGAAGGAAAGTGAAATGCTGTGACATAGCCCCTGTAAGGGAACATGAAGAAAATAATAGGTAGAACTGATGTTCAGAAAATAATGTGTGCTTATCTAAGGGGTCTAAACATACTACCGTTGTAAGAAATTAATGCCAGATCTACTAATTTCAGTATCTATCATCTTGTAAGTCTCTATTAAAGAACAGGATTCAGATTTGTATTTTTCTGTTTAAAAAACAGACTGAAATCTAAGGGACCTCAATGTATCTTATGAATTCAAATCCTAAGCATTTTCTGGGAGAAAATGAAGAATGTTATTTTGCCAAGACAAGAGAGGCAAAATGATGATGAGACAGAATTCTTACAGGCCTCTGTTAATAACAGCAGTGCACTGGTCCACTGAGGTCCTTCTCCCTCCATCAGTTGAGTTTTGTAGTTGTTTGATGCTTCTCCTATCA